AGCCGTCTTAGGGGGCCTCTCTGGGCCGACTTGGGGCCCTCTTGGGGTGCTCCAGGGCCGTCTTGGAGGTTTCCTGGGGCGTGTTAGAGGCCTCTTGGGCCGTCTTTGGGCCCTTTTGGGGCCGTCTTGGGGGCCTCTTGGGCAGTCTTAAGGCCGTCTTGGAGGCCTCTCGGGCGCTCTGGGGGCGATTTTGGGGCCGTCTTGGGCCGTCGAAGACCGAAAAGGAGCAAATTTGATAATCCTTCAAAAACGCGAGCCCAAGCTGCAGGCGGAGGAGAGGAGGGAGCCAACTGAAGAGTCTGGGAGACACTGGAAGAAATCAATGATGTTGGCCTCTTCGGGCCCTCCTGGAGGACCTCTCGGAGGCCTCTTCAGCCGTCTTGGAGGCCTCTTGGGCACCTCTTGGGCAGTTTTGGGCCGTCTTAGAGGCTTTAAGGCGGACGTGGAGGCATCTTGGACCCTCGTGGGCCGACTTGGAGGCCATCTTGGACCATCTCAGGCGGACTTGGAGGCCATCTTGACCGTCTTGGAGACATATTGGAGTACATCTGGGGCGTGAGAGGCATTGACTGGCGCATTTTCCAGGTGGCCGGCGGGACGGGCCGAAGCCCCAGGGGAGAGCTCTTGTGGAAAAAAACAACCAAAACTGAAAGGGTCCAGCACGCCGGGCACCCCTGTGGCAAGCCAACCGGGGGCGGCGGATCGAATGGCCTTCGGCCCATCCCGCCACCGTGCGTGGTTGGCGGTGCAAAGCCTATTCGATGTTCGTTGGGGTCTCGTGAAGGGCCTGTCGGGGGCCTGATGGAGACAACCTCTTTTGAGCCTCTCGGGGGCCCTCTTCGGGCCTCCTGGGAGCCTCTTGGAGAGGAAGGCTCGGATTTTCAGTTCGTGTTCCTTCTCTTGGGCCCCTTTTGGGGCCGTCTTGGTCCCTTGGGCCGTCTGATCAGTGCTGCATGAGCCTCGGGGCACTCCACTTCGTGCCAGAGGCATGGTGGCGGATTCTAGATGTCGACGATAGTACCATACAGGAGCTGTTCAGGGTCATGGATAAGAACGATGACGGTGATGTGAACGCTCCCGAGTTCTGCAGCTTCATCTGGAAGACTCTCTTCACAGACATGAAGACGCAGATGATGGCGACCAGGATCAATGTGGACCGCGTCCTGCAAGACCAGAGAATCATCCTCGAGCGCCTCGAGACGGAGAGGTGCACGCCGCCGCCGCCCGCCCCGCCAGTGCGACCCGCGGAGCCCGATCCCACCGCGGAAAGGCTGTGTGCCCTCGAGGGGGCCCTCGCCGAGGGCCACCGGCAGCTCCTGGCGGCCGTGGACCGCCGCCTGGCGCAGGCCCTGGAGCAGTGCGCCGCGGCCCGCGCCGTGCCCGCCGCCGCGGACTCCACGCGCACCCCGCCTCGCGGCTGGGCGGGCGCGCGCCGCGCCGGCGAGGAAGCGCACGCCGGCGGCGCCGCCCCCCGCGCGGCGGAGGGCGCGCCCGGCCCCTGGCCAGGGCCCCGGGGCCAGCACCGCGCAGAGCTGGCCGGCGCGGGCCCCCGCGCGGCGGTGCGCGCGGGCGCCGGGGCGCCCGCAGAGGGCGGGGCGCCGGAGGCCCAGCTCGGCGCCCCGGAGAGCGCCGCTGCCCCGCGGCGCGGGCGCGCGGGTGGCTCTGACGGCCACGCCGCGGCAGGCCAGGTGTGGCAGCAGAGCCTGTGCGGCCGGCCCGCCGCCCCCCTCGTGCAGGGCGGCGGGGCAAGCGGACCGCTGCGCTGCAGCGATCGGGCCAGCTCCGCGGGCCGCCGCCAGCGCCCGGGCGCCTCGAGAGGAGGCGGCCAGCCCGCGCCGCGCGCCCCTCCAGCGGCGGACGCCATCTGGCGTCAACCCGCACGTCTGCAGGTGCCGCAGTTGCCGTTGCTGGCCCGCTCGACCGGACTCGCTCTCGCGGGGCGGCAGGCGCCATCCTGGGCATCCGCAGCCGCGCAGGCGGTGGGAGCCTTTCGGGATCACGGCGAGGCATTCTCGCAGTTGTTGCCGTCTGCTGGCCCCCCGTGGGCGTGGAGCGGGCAGCAGGCATCAGCTCGTGGGATTGTGGTTACGAGCGCTCCGCCGTGCGCGTCCGTGCCATCTGATTGCGAACGCATGCTTGCAGTACACAGCTTCGTTTTGAATGCTGGCATTTCCCGTGCCCCTTTCGACAGGTTGGTGCTCTACCTTGACAGCCTGGGAGTTCACCTGAGCGTTCATGAGCAGGACACGCTCAAATCGATGTTGCAGTTCCAGCACGGCTTCTAGCAAGCGATGAGCGGAGTGTTGCGGAGTTCATGTGAAGTTTGTGCCATTTTTTCCCTCTCACAGACAGGAACGACGAGAAGAGGGGGTCGAATCAAGTAGAAAACGCAGCAGTTCCCCGCCTCTGCCAAACTACGCAGTAGACCTGGGAGACCCAGGAACAAGTGGGTGACGTGCTTGTGCGATCAATGTCTTGCCTGCTTCACCACAAAAAAGAAACTTCTGGAGTGCGCGCGCGACGCTTCAACATCTCTCAGGCTTCGAACTCTGCTCCAGAGGCGTGCGTAGGCCTCCTCCTTCTCATCCTCCTCCTCCTCCTCCTCCTCCTCCTCCTCCTCCTCCTCCTCCTCCTCTTCCCCTGGCCAGCCAGCTCAGACCCACTTCCCGGCCGCGCCCGCTGGCAAGGGCTCAGCACAGGCAATGACAACATGTTCACATTGTTCATTTCCAATGTTTCGAAAGTTCTTTGATTTTTTTGGGAGGCCAAGATCCTTTCATTTCTAATTGGTCTATCCTGGGCCTCTTCCTGGCCACTAGGAGGCCAGGAACCATTAGAAACGAGCACAATTAGAAATGAGCACGATTAGAAATGAACGACGTGTTGTGTTGCCCGCACCTGACTCCCACCAGCCAGGCCTCTTCCACTCCGCGCGACTCCACTCCACCCCTGCCGTATCTGCACGGAGCCCTGGCAGGTGCGGCGCTTGATGTTACTGTGATGTCACGCCGCCGTGGTCAATCCAGACGCTTGCCGCGCACGGTCCTAAAACCGATATGATGCCCCGTCACTCTGCTCCCCTCCTAGTTACCTTGGCATGTCAAGACGCTTGTTGGAAAGGATCGAAGTCAGAGAGTCCGACGCGATCCTCATCATGTCATATGGTTCCTCCCTTGACGTGATCTTCCCGCTCCTTCTCCCCCCGCATCCCCCTGACGAGCCCCGATCCCCGTCCCTCGCTCCCTCCCCCGTATCCTCGCCGTATCCTTTTCCTTCCTGACCCCGGATACCCCACAAAGCTATTGTCTCAGCAGCCTCGTCCTCCTCCGCCTCCGCCTCCGCCTCCGCCTCCTCCTCCTCCTCCTCCACCTCCTCCTCCTCCTCCTCCTCCTCCTCCTCCTCCCTCCTCCTCCACCTCCTCCTCCTCCTCCCCTCCTCCTCCTCCTCCTCCTCCTCCTCCTCCTCCTCCTCCTCCTGGCAGCCGAGAGCAGGACTGGCGCTGCCAGCATCCCAGCCAGGCGTGGCGCCTCCAGGGGGGGCCCTGGCGGGCGGCACCCGGCCGAGGCGCAGGCAGGCCGGCCTGCTCGCTCGAGGCTCGCGGCGGCACGTGGCGCGGACTCGCGGCTGCCCTTCGGCGCTCTCAGGGGGCGCCCTTGGAGCTGTCTTGGGGGCCTCTTGGGCCCCTCTGGGGGCTCTCCTGTGAATCGGGGGAGGGAAAGGTGCCCATGCCTCTACCCTTTTCTCGTTTTCCCCTTGTTGGGCCTCCTCAAAGGCCCTCGTCGCCACCGCTGGATTCGCCTCGAAATTCTGGTCAGAACGCACCCCTGGAGAGGTCCGGGGAGTAGCGGTATCGGTACCTTTTGGTCCCCCCAGTGAAATCAATAGTTTTCCCTTCGATGTTTCACGGTTTCTTGTTGGCCACTCGGGAGGGTCTTCGGGGGGTCCGGGAGCACCTGGAATCATCTCGTGGCTCGCTTGGGGCCTCTTCGGAGGTACGATGAATTATCCTTGAGCCACCTTCTGCTATCTTGAGTCCTCTTGGAGGCCATCTTGGAGCATGGGAGGCCCTTTTGGAGCCATCGTGGACCCTCGCTCTAACCCCTCCGCCCGGGGCCCGGAATGCCTCGGCGAGGGGAGGGCGAGGGCGACCCTCGCAGAGGGGAAGAAGGGGTTTGGGAGGAGGCAATCGAAACACCGTGAGACAACCTACGTCCCAAGAGCCAGTGGCGTTCGCCCGATGCCCCCTCCGATGCCTGCCCGCACACTGAAGCTTCGCATTTTACGGGGGGGGGCCGCTTCCTGCCTGCCCCCACACTGCAGCTTCGCATTTTGGGGGGAGGGGGGGGGGGGGGGCGCTCCCCGGCCGCTCCTGATGATCCCTCGCCCTGCCCGCGCCTGGAGCGGATGGGGCCCCTCGCCCTGCCCGCGTGCGGAGCGTCTCCCGCCGCCTGGCCACGCCTGTCGTGCTGCGGCCGTCGTGGTGCTCCTCGCCTGGCCCTGTCCGCAGAGATGGTCCTTCGCCTCGGTCGTCACCAGAGCGTTTCCCCTCAGCCTGGCCACGTCTGCGGCGATCCCCCGCCTGGCAAAACTCTGGAGCGCTCGTGCCCTCGCCCTTCGTCGCCGCCGTCCTCCTCCTCCTCCTTATCCTCCTCCCTTCCTCCCTCCCTCCCTCCTCCCTCCTCCTCCCTCCTCCTCCCTCCTCCCTCCATACCCCCTCCATCCCTCCCTCCTTCCCTCCCTCCCTCCCTCCCTCCCCCCTCTCCTCCCTCCTCCTCCTCCCTCCTCCCTCTCCCCTCCTCTCCCTCCCCTCCTCCTCCCCTTCCCTCCTCCTCTCCTCCTTCCTCCCTCCCTCCTCCTCCTCCTCCTCCCTCCCTCCTCCTCCTCCTCCCTCCTCCTCCTCCTCCTCCTCTCCTCCTCCTCCTCCTCCCTCCTCCTCCTCCTCCTCCTCCTCCTCCTGTCCTTTTCAGGAGACCCCCCCATCCCTCGTGCGCCGCCAGGAGCCCCCGCGGAGCGGCCCGGCGTCGCCCTGAGCCCACGCGGGCGCCCGCCCGCCTCCCTCGCGGGGCGCGGGTGCGCGCCCCGGGGGCCGGGTCCGCGCCTGCTGCACCTTGTGGCTGGCGGCGCAAGGAACCCGGGCTCAGCCACGCGCAGAGGGGGGCTCAAGCAGTGGCGAAGCGTCTTGGCGTGCCCACAGTCCTGCCCAGCAGTGTTCTAAGAACCTCGTGTGGCCTTGGCGAGATGTTCTGAGAGCATTTCTGGTGGAGTCTGTCTTGTCTTATCACACCAGGCTTGTGTTCTAAGAACATTATTTTTGCTCTTAGAACATTGTTGGGTTCTACGAACATTTCGTGGTAGGACTATAGGAATGCTGGGACGGTCGGTCCCTCCTCAAGGGGAAGGGGGAGGGGGGAAGGTTTCTAAGAAGCACCCGTGCTTTTTAGAAGGCACGGGCCTTGTCTATAGATGAAAGTCCGGCGACATCTAAGAAGCAGCCTCTTTCCAAGAAGCCTTCCCCTTCTCCCCCTGTACCCCCTTGTGCGCGCCGCCGATGGACCCCCCCTTGCCATGAAGAGAACACGACGGAGGATTTGTTATGTTATTTTCGGCCTATGGGGAATCTCGTCGGGCCTCGGGATCATTAGAACATGACTCGGGATGAAAAACCAGTCCCAGGGAATGGGTCGAGACTTCTGGGGGTCGACGTTATGAAAAAGTCTTGACATCGGGGGTCTGGGATACGGCCTTGAAGGGTGGAGCCCTTAGCAGCCCTGGCACGCCCGTTTTGAAACGCAACACCTGCCGTGGTCAGAACGTCTGTGTTAACATGTTGCGTGTTGGCTCAACGTGTTGGCCCACGTTTTGGCGAATCGATCGCGCCAGACCTACGCTTTCAGTCTACGTGCTCAGCTCCGTGTCAACACGCTACGTGTTTCGTGTTGCGTATCGGGCAGCGAAGGTGAGGCCACGAGCACGAGTCGCAAGGCTTCGGGTTGCGCACAGAGAGCACCCCCCCAGGTAGCCCCGGCTGGCCTGAACAGGTCCCCCGAGTAGTCCCAGCTGGCCTCAACAGGCCTCCCGAGTGGTCCGGGGCGGTGTCAACACCCCAGCGCCGCCTCTGGCGGCGCCCCTGGGTTGCTCCGCGCCCCAGGGTTGAGGTGTTGAGACCGACCCGGACCTCTCGGGGGGTCCTCTGGAGGCCAGCTGGGACTACTCGGGGGGCCTGTCGAGGCCAGCCGGGACTACCTGGAGAGACTGTCTGCGCGCAACCCGAAGCCTCACCAAGGACGAGAGGCCTCGCGCCGCCGCTTTCTCTATCCTCACAGGGCCCCACCCCTCAGGGCCCCGTCTTGGAGCCGCCGACTTGGCACAGGAGCCCTTCGCGCGAGGGCCCGCCGGCCGCCCCTCGCGCCCCGCCGGGGCCTTTTGCACGCGCGCGCCGGGGGGCGATCCTGGCCGGACCCTCTGCGCTCTTTCCCTGCGGCGCGCGCCGACGGGGGCCGGGGTCGGAGGCTCTGAGGCTCTGGGGCGTACTAAAACGACGCGAAGATCGGGACAAAATCGGATCGGGATAACTCGAAATCTCTGAGAATCGGCGGGTTTGGAGGATGTATTGGGCGCCGCGGCCGCTCCAGAGCGTTCCGGAACGCTCTGAGAGCGCTCCGGAACGCTCTGGAGCGATTTATCCCGATCCTAGCCCTGTTTTACGTACGTCGACGCTGCACACCTGGAGTGCGTCGGCCCCGGCTGGGCCGATCCCTGGGAGCGTGCACCGCGGAGGTTCGCGCACGGGCTTCTCGGATCGGCGCTGGAGCCCCCCCCTGGCGCCCGGGAGGGGTTCCAGCGCCGATGCAGGAGATCTGTGCGGACCTCCAAGAGTGTTTGATGCCATTTTTGCCCGACACGTCGATTAGCGAATTGTCCGTTTCCTGCTCTCGAGAGGGCGCCGCGGCCGTCGTTTTCCAGGCTTGCGCCCGCCAGGTTTGGGCCCGAGGTCGTTTTCGCCAGGCCACGTTTTGCTAAAGGGGGTTTCGTCCATCCCCGATTTGGGTCCGCGAATCCCGGGCTCTGAGGCACTCAGGCCTAGGGGGGCGTGCATGATGCACGCGTTCGCAGGGGAGTCTCGCCGAAGCCACGGGCCGTCGGCGCCCCTGGATACATATGTGCTGCTCTCCCCTAGACGATTCTCAGGAGGGAGGAAAACACACACACACACACACACACAATGAATCGTCGATTCCCCAGAAAATATCGGGAAATATGGGAAGTGCGAGGTGGGAAGACAAAAGCCCCGAAAATATGTGAAATTATGGGGGATCCTGTTACTTGTGCCTACTTCTTTGCATGTCCCGGGGCCTCTTCACTGGCGCCCGCATCGCCGCCCCCGACAGGGCGAGGGGGGGGGTCGCGGCCTCCTGGGAAGGATCCCTCCCCCCCCCCGAGTGTCATCCGGTAGAGGGAAACAATTACTGAACACTCCCCCTCCCCCAAAACTCAATGTTGGCACGCGCGGGGGACACTGCGGCCGAAGTGCAGCTCATCAGACCCACCCCCAACTTTGATCATTGGGGGGGATGGGGAGGCGTGGACGGATGAATGTGGCACGAGTGTTCGCTGATTTGCTCCGAGGCCCGTCGGCTGCGCTGCACTGCCCGCCGCGCTCTTCCCCGGAGAGGCGCGAGGAGAGCGGCAGCGAGCGCGCCTGCTCGGGGGCGTGGGGCGCCGAGGCCGCTCGCCAGGGGCCTCGGCGGAGGGCCCCCGCATCCCGAGCCACCCGGAGAGCGCTCCCCATGCTTCACGGGCGGAGAGGAGGAGGAGGAGGAGGAGGAGGAGGAGGAGGAGGAGGACGCCGAAAGAAGGAGCAGCCCGGGTTCGGGAGGGGCCCGTTGGTCCTCAGACCCTCCCACGGCTGCCTCTCCAGCGCTCGTCCACGCAGGCGCCTCTGGGGCCACAGGGGGGGGCGTCGTTCCTTTTTTCGGCATTCCTTATCTCAGTGGCCCGACTGTACGCTGCCTGCCTTTGTTGGAGGGCGGCCGAACATCACCGGTCTGGAGTCGCCCTTGCTACTGCATGGTTCCGCCCGCGTGCTTCTTCCAGACGGCCCGTAGGGAGTCTCGAGGGGCTGATCCTTTCTGAAAAGCTTCCCTCGGCGTCACCCCAATATACTTATACTACATGTGCGTCGCCCCCCCCCCCCAGGGGCGACGCGCGCACCGAGAAATCTTACAGTACATGCGTCGTGGCGGGCGCTTTCGGGCCACACCGCTCGGGAAGCGATGTACCACAAGGTGGGTATACTATATATCCAGGTCGGACGCGCGCCTCCAAGGAGAACATATCGTATTAGTATGTCCCTGTGCGTCCCACTCCATGCTCTCCTGGAAGGCCAGCCCACCTTCACATCAGCCTCCGTCCGCGCGCCGCAGGCATTCGCGGGCCCGTGGCTTGCCAGGGGGGGTAGGCTCGGTCGCCCCCCCCTCTGGGCCACTGCGGCCTTCGCGCAGCGCTTCCGTGTGTATATATTTTTCATGTTGGGGGTCGCGATTGCAGAGCGCCTCCTTGCGAAGAAGAAAAACAGACGTAAACATAAACTCTTGGCGCTCCGCGCGGATTTCTTTGGTTCGCGCTGGGGCCCCCCTGGCGGCGCCTTCGGCGCCGCCCCTGGCGCCGACGGCGCGCCAGGGAGGGGGTCCAGCGCGCATCCAAGAAATCCGCGCGGAGCGCCAACAGCTTATATGTATGGCGTTTTTCTTCCTAGATTGCAGAGCGCCTGATTATAATTTGGGTGCCTTGGCCAGCGCGTTGCGATGCGCGTGCTGCTGGCGACAGTGCGCCACTCGGATGGCCAGCCTGCCGCAGCTTCGCGCAGTCGGTGCCCGTCTTCGGTTATCGCGCTCGGCCTCGCGCCTGCCACGGCTCGGCGGCGAGCGAAGGGCGGAGGCGAGAAGGAGAATCAGGAGGGGAGAAAACACACACAGACACAATGGAACGTCGGTCCCCAGGAAAGCATGGGAAAAGATGGGAAGTGGGGGAGAAGACGAAGCCCCTTCCGAGCCTGGGGGACTTCTTCTCCTTCTCGTCTCCCCCCCCGGGCTCGCCACCGAACAGCAGGTCTTGGGATGAGCCGCGTGGCAGGCGGGAGGGTCCCAGGCGCCGGAGAGCACGGCCCTGTGCACCTTCCCCGCGTGCGATGTCACAGTCTGGTCGCACGCTGTGTCTCCTGACAGCGACTTGCGAATTCGTTCTCGATGGGAGGAGGAGGAGGAGGAGGAGAAAGAGAAAGAAGAGAAGGAGGAGGAGGATTCGTGCAAACCCAAAAGTCATCAGCGATGTTTGAAACACCCTCCCTCCAATCTTCCTCTTCATCGGCTCCTACAGCGATTCAGTTCAACCGTTTGGAGACCCTGAAGAATGCCAAGACATTGTTCTCGGGATTCCAGCGCCACGGATAAACCTGACTGTTGCGTCGTGACCATCCTGAATCGTGCCAGAACGCCATTCTTGAGACTTTCACCGCGAACCAACGCAACTGCTGCACCCTCATAGTCCTGAATCCTTTCCTGACACCGTTTCTGGTACGCTGACCATGGGAATCCGTGAAAATCTTGATTGTTTTTTTGTGACAAAAGGTGTGCGCGGCGCTAAAGCGAGTGCCACATGTTGAAAAGGAACCGCCCTCAATGCGTGAAATTCCTGCCAACTGTTAAAAAGAATGTACTCGGCGCTGAGACGAGAGCCACATTTTGAAAAAGGCCCCTCAATCCGTGAAGCTCTTGCACATGTTTAAAAGGAATGTGCGCGGCGTTAAGGCGAGAGCCACATTTGAAAACGACCCGCCATCAATCCTCAAAACTTCTGCATATGTTCCAAAGGATAAGCGCGGCGCTATGGCGAGAGCCACATTTTGAAAACAACCCGGCCTCAATCCGTGAAACTCCTGCAGTTTGTTGAGACGAATGTGCGCGGTTCTACGGCGAGAGCCACGTTTTGAAAACGACCCGCCCTCCATCTGTGAAATTGTTGTCATTATTCGGAGCTTCAGGGTCATAAATGGTGAGGAAGACTCAGGCGAAACGCCCACCCCGCCCCAAAAACTGGCCTCGGGGTGCGACAGGGAAAACAGTTCCTGATAAAGAAAGGGAAGGGAGGAGGAGGAGGAGGAGGAAGAGGAGGGAGAGGGCGAGGAGGAGGAGGAGGAGGAGGAGGAGGAGGAGGAGGAGGAGGAGCAGGAAAAGGTACCCAACCTCTACCCTTCGCCCGTTTTCCCCTTTTCTGGGCATCCTGGGAGGCCATCCTCGCAACCGCTGGATTCGTTTCGAAATCCTCGTTAGAACGCACCCCGGGAGAAGTCCGGGGAGTAGCGGTATAGTGGGGGCGTTGGTTAAGAAATGCGCCCAGGAGGCGCCAGACCTTCGATGATTTCTTATCTGATGAGGGCGGCGGTGATGTCCACTGCCAATCCGCGATGGGAGTTCCACTGGCGTCCAGAACCTGGATTCCTGATCCAATGCTTCCTTATCCAATGCCGCCACCGTATCGGTACCTTGAGGGCTCCCCAGAGGAGGAAGAGGAGGAGGAGGAGGAGGAGGAGGAAAAGAAAGAAAAGGAGGAGGAGGCGGGGGAGGAGGAGGAGGACGAGAAAAGGGAGGAGGAGGAGGAGGACGAGGAAGAGCAGGAGGAGGAGCAGCAGCAGCAGGTGCAGGATGATAGATAAGGCCCAGTGGCAGAACTGCCCGAGCACATTCCCTCCTTTAGCGTACCACACTGCTCAGCCTCTGCGCACGACATCTGGCAAGCGGTTCGCGAAGTCGATTTCAATCGAGGAAGAGAGAAGGGGAAGTGGAGCAGGAGAAGGAGGAGCGCAGCACGGTCCAGAGTAGTCCAGCGTCTGCCGCAAGTGGCTTTGGGATCAGCCCCGTCGTGGCAGATGACTCGTGGACGAGCAGAGTTGCTGGTGCATCCGTCCTCTAGCTATCTGCGTGCCTCTTCTCAGCGGTGCGCAAAAGGTGGCAGAGCGAGGGGAGTCGGTGTGAGAAGCCGCCCCGACTCCACGACGCCCCCCTGTCTTCTAGCAAGCGTTCTTAGGAGCATGCTCGGAAGGCTGTCCCCCCTCCTCGGTCTGCTCCCGTCTGCGCGCCGCCAACGCCTCTCTGCCTTCAATGCACGCCGCCATATCACAGAATCGACTGCTCGCTTCAGCAGCGAAATGCGAATTCGACTAAGACAGGAGTAGCTTGGTTGGCCTGGCAACACGAAAGAACATCTGATGCCCTGGCACTGCTGCTACAGGCATACGTTCGTATGTTCGCAGCGGTGACACTAGCTTACAGATTCGGGGAATTCTTGCTCTCAGCAGAGGTGCAGTTAGGAATGATAACTTTAGCCACCTCCGCTGATTCGAACAGTCTCAAGCCTGGCGTCAGATGGCCCTGACGCTTATGCACAGCTTCCGCTTGCAATGGCAGGTTTTGGCCGTCAGCGAGCAAGATGCACCCAGACGTAACCACCATTGAACATGGCACTCCCAACCCGTGCGAGAGCGACATGAGTTTCGAACAGGTGGGGTGTTCAACCCGCAGCGTGGGGGCGCGCCACTGCGACTTGAGTTTGCGCACGCGCACACGCGCGCAGCTTGTTTGCGTTTGACTCCAAGCGTGCCCGTGTTCTCTGTTCGCGGCTAGAGGGCATATTGGCAGGGTATTGGGGTTTGGATAGGTCGTGATTCGGAATGCCGCAAGGTGCGCTTTGAGGAGGGGGGTCGAAGACGAAGAGGAACGTGTGGGATGACAGAGATCTGAGAATAAGGAGGCGGAGGAGGAGACGAGAACGGGGAGAGGGGAGAACGTGGAGGATGACGTGGAGAAGGAGTGGAAGGGGGATGAGGAGGAGGAAAATGGGTTTGGAAAAGTTGGGGCGGCGTTCGAGGAGGATTTGAGGGACAGGTTGAGAACGAGGACAAAGGAGGACGAAGAGTGGTTGGGAGGAGAAGGATGAGGAGGAGGACCTGTGCAAACCCAAGACGCGCCAAAGATTTTGCACTACACCCTCCCTCTTCACAGGTCCCGAGTATTTTCATTTCGGGAAATGCCCCGTTGAAAGACACCCATCTGAGAATCCTCGATCGTGCCCCCAAGAAACGCAATTGGGAGTTCAATGCCGCAAATCAACGTGCTTGTTGCGTCCCTAGCTATGGGAAGCCGTACAAGAACATCCCCCCTTGGACTTCAACACCGCGGGTCAACGGACGAACGCGTCCTGGAAATGTTCAGTCGCGCCAGAACGCCATTCCCAGGACTTCAACGGCACGAACCCTTGAAGCTGCTCAAACCATTTGAGACGAATGCGCGCAGCGCTAAGGCGCGAACCACAGTTTGAAATGAAATCCCCCTCCATGCTTGGCTGTGCACTTTTAAGACGACTGAGCGCGGTGAACAAAAGAGAGTCACAAATCAAAGAGGACCCGCTCTCAGTGTTTGAAAATTGTTGCAAACTTGTCAGGCGAATGTGCGCGGCGCTAATGCGAGAGCCACATTTTGAGCATGGCGCGATCCCATGTTTGCAACAGGTGCCAACTTTTATAGCAAGCATGCGCGGCGTTAAAGCAAGAGCCAAATGCTGAAAACAGCCCGCCCTCAATCCGTGCAATTGTTCCAAATTTCAAGCTTGAGAGCCACGGATGGTGCGAGAGTCTAAATCGACACGGCCGGCCCGCCCCACTGACACTTTGGGGGTGCGACTGGAAGGCATTTCTAAAGAAAAGGGGTGGAGGAGGAGGACGACGACGACGAAGACGATGGGGACGAGGACGAGGAGGCGGGAAGGAAGGGGGAGAAGGAAGTCGAGGAGAGGAAGAGGTCCAGGTGGAAGGAGGAGGAGGAGGAGCAGGCGGAGGAAGAGGAGGAGGTGGAGGAAAAACATTAGGATGAGGAGGAGGAAATGGGGAGGAGAACGACAGATACAATTCACACCGGGAGCGGTGATTGGGCTGGGTAGTCCATGCGGACTCTTGCGCGGCGTGCCCTTTTCGCCCACGCGGCAGGAGGCCCCCGCTGCGTCCTTCTGCCAATGCAATCCCACCGCCAGCCCCCCATCCTCTTCCTCCATCCCTGTCCTTACAAATACGTAACTCCTCATTGCCGCACCCCGAGACGTGTCGGCAGGGCAGGCCGGGCGTTTCGTTTGAGATGTTTTACGGTTCTCAAGCTTGAGATGTGCAACAGTTTCACGGATGGAGGGCGAGGCGTTTTCAAAATGCGGTTCTCGCTGAAGCGCCTCGCACCTTCTTTTTTAGAATCGCAGCAGTTTCACAATGGTGGGTGGGTCGTCTTCAAAATGTGGTTCTCGCTTTAGCGTCGCGCACACTTGTCATACACAAACGCAGTTTCACAATGGAGGGTGGGTCGTTTTCAAAGTGCGGCTCTTGCCATAGCGCCGCGCACATTCGTTTTTAAATTTTGCAGCCGTTTCAGGGATGGAGGGCGGTCCGCGTTCAAGCTGTGGTTCTCGCCCCAGCGCCGCGCGCATTCAAGAGTTAATAGCCGTTTCAAGGATGTTCATCGGTCACGTGCCATAAGCGGTCTCTTGGAACGAGGTATGATTGTCAGTGCGCAACAGGTACGTTGACTCGCGGTGTTGCAGTCCCAGGAATGGCGTCCTGGCGCGATTCAGGGTTGTCACGACGCATTCGTGGTGTGAAGTCCCAGGAATGGTGCTCTGACACGATTCAGGATTTTCAGCGGTTGTCTTCCAACGGGGCATTTCCCTCAGTGGAAGT